CGGCAGGGGCATGCCGGGGGTGGGCTCCTGGGGCCCTCCGGGCGGCCAGGGGCCTGCGGGGTGCCGCCTGGCACCGGGAGGGTCTCGCCTGCGGAGGGAGCGGCCGGGCCTGCCCGTGGCCCCGGGCCCGGGACGGGGGTGGCAGAGCGGGAGATGTGTCCCCTACCGTGACGGCCCTGGGAGCAGTGCTCTCTGGCCGCCGTTGGCAGCCCCGCGGGCCCTCGTTTCTGGTGGCTCCTGCGGGCAGGGCCCTTCCCGTGGGCTCCTTCCAGCAGCACCGAGCTCCCGGCCGCTGGCGAGCCGGGCTGAAGCGCTGAACCGCTTTACCGGCCTCCGCCCCGCGGTCTCCCGCGGAGCACGAACACTGCCGAGTCGTCCCGAGACCCGCGGTTACAGTTGCTGCCTGTCGAAGGCTCCACTCGTGGCTGCCGCTCGCCCTGGCCCGTGTCCTTCTCAGGCTCTCCCGGGTCGGTAACAACGTCTTCTCTTTCTTTCCTAGCCCAGGTGGGGAAGACATCTCTGATCATGGCTCTGGTGGGCGAGGAGTTCCCTGAAGAGGTGAGTGTGAGGGGGGGCCCTGGCCCACCTCGCTGGGTGTCCTGCCAGGCAGCAGTGGGACAGCTCTGTCCCAAGTGGCACCGGCCTGAGGTGGAGGTGTCTGGGAGGTGCACACAGCTTCCTGGGGACTGGTGAGAGCCACGGGGCTGATTCAGGTGAGCTTAAGCCTGTGAGGACCCCACGGAGCTCTAGCTGAAACAGTGTTTTCTCCAGTTTGTGCTCTAATCCCTGACGTGGGGCCTTGTGTGTCCTGAGGAGGGGCAAAGGTAGCTCCCAGGGCCCCGCTTCCCCTGCTGCAGCCAGTGCACTGTGGCTGGGGGTCTCTGCACCACCAGCACACAGGTCACGGGGCCCTGCGTGGCAGGGCTGTCTGTTCCCCAGCTGTGGCCTTGGTTTGGTGGTACTGGCACAGGGTGCTTGGAAGGAACTGAGCCATGTTCCCATCTTGTCTGCCTGTTTCTGGAGACGGGCCTGGTGCTTCAAGCTGGGCCATCTACAAGGAACAGCATCCAGCCCATGTGCACGTGCCACCTGAATCATCCAGTTCGGCAGCTCATTGTCCCATCGGGGTTTGGATAGGGATCCCTCTGGCCAGGCATGTTTGTCCTGTGCCGTCAGGCAGCTTCTCCTGTTGCCCGTGAGCAGATGGTGCTCTCTGCGACATTTGCGCTAGGAAGCATCAGCTCCGGGGGCTCGGGGGAGGACTGGCTCCACGCACCTTCCTGTGCTCTCACAGCAAAGCCCGGACAATCAGCTTAGTGCTCCCAGCTGCTAGGAGGTCAGGCCAGAGAGCTGGAGGAGTGCTGAGGGCTTATCTCCAGAGCTGTTGCGGGGGTGGCAGCGCTGTCTGTAAGATGGTTTCCCTGACAGGACTCAGTGCTGCCAGGAGCTGTCTTGAGGGAGGGCTCGGGGCTGGGAGGCGGTCGGGGGTTTCACTGCAGGGACACTGGCTGTTCAAGGGCAATCTGTGGTCTGGAGCTCATCCCACCCTGGCAGGGAGGGCCCTGGGCAGCAGCTGCGTTGGGATCTGAAGTACCTTGTCACCCGTTCTCTCAGCTGCGTTCAGCATAGCTGGCTGGACCAGAGTCTGCTGCCTTTGCAGGTGCCTCCTCGTGCGGAGGAGATCACGATCCCGGCTGATGTCACCCCTGAGAAGGTCCCCACGCACATAGTGGACTACTCAGGTAGGGCCCTGTCCCTCTCACTCCCTGCTGGTCTTGCTTCTCCCCTCTTGCCTTGCTGAGGGGAGTGGGAAGGGATCCCCACTGCCAAGGGCAGTTGGTGACGGCTCTCTTCCACTTTCAGAGTCAGAGCAGACGGAGGATGAGCTGCAGGAGGAGATTGCTAAGGTGAGCTGAGGGTGAATTGGGAACAAAGTGAATTGGGGGTGTTGCGGGACAGGGGACTGTGGTGCCTGTAGCCCTGCAGCCAGCGAATGACACGTGGCTGCTCGTTCTGCCCATTAACAGCAGAGATGCACGGGCAGTTGCTTATCTGTGGATTAATGCTATTGGTTTGTTTAGGGGTTTGTTTAATCCTTCTCTGTCTTGTAAGCTGTTGTACATGGCTTGTCCTAGCCCTCTGGGGAGCCTCCAGAAGGAGAGGGGTGGGGGGCAGCTCACTGGAGCTCAGGAGGTGGAGGAGGCTGCTGAGCGGATGATGTGCTCTTAGCATTGGGATACTCCCAGTAAATTCAGAACAGGGGAGAAGTGGTTATGGAGCTTGGCCAAGACCCTCCCGCTCCCTGTATTAGGTTTCTGTGGCTGCCTCCTGAAGCCATAGCCAGAGGAGTTGGTTTGGGATCTGAAGCCCCAGGGAGCACTGGACATGGAGGGATGAGGGTTCCCATGTCCCTCCGAGCAGCCATGGAGGAATAATCCAGCTGGCTGACTGGGGTAGGCCCAGCTGCTCTTCTCTGCCCTGGGATTAACCTCAGCTCTGTATGGAGGAGGACCTCTTGATTATGGATAATAAAACTGTCTTTCCTCTGTGCATCTCACATGAGCAAAGCTATTTAATCTTGCCACCTCGGTGACTAACAGCCAAGGAGGTGGACCAGTGGGTGCAGGGGTCCTGCTCCCTCCACTCAGACAGCAAGAGTATACAGAGGCTTAAAATGGCTCCAGGAAATCCTGCCTAAAACCTTGTGTGTCCTCGGGATTAGCGCTAAACTCTCTCCTGAAAAGACCAGTGATCCCTCCTGTCTGCTTCAAATAAAGCATTGGTGTCAGCGCTGTCTGTGCGCGGTCGGGGAGGGGAGGGGGGCAGCGGCCATGGCCCAGCACAGGGCACGGGCAGAGCCATCGTGGGGGAGCACTGAGGTGTGGGAGTGAGGAACCAGGCTGTCAGGTGTGGAGGCAGACGTGCTGGCAGCAGCTCTTGAAGCAGAGGAACCAGTCTTTTCCCCGAGCAGCCCACTGTGGAGCTCGTGCTGGCGGCGGGCAAGCCATTGCTGTTGGAGGGCTGTGTATGTCTGCACGCTCACGCGTGCTCAGCCGCTCCTGCCGGGCTTTGGTACAAGTGCACCAGCAGCGTGTGGGGCTGGAGCTGCCTGGCCGTGGGGCTGGCCTGTTGCTACGGCAGGGCTGTGTCTTGGGCTCAGCCAGCCTCCCCACTGCGGCGAGGTGCTGTAGGGACCCTCGCTCACTCCCCTTCTGCCATTTCTTTCTTGCAGGCCAATGTGGTCTGCGTGGTGTATGATGTCACCAAGGAGGCCACAATCGAGAAGGTAACGGCTACCCCACCAGAGCCCTGAGCAGCAGTGCCAGAGGGGAGGGGGTTCCCAGCTATGGGTCCTTCCATGCTGCCCAGCTTTTTGTTGTGGGTGGGTACTGGGGTCCTGTGTATTGGGGGTTTGAGACCCCTGCACAGCCCAAGCTTGCTCCTGTGTTGTCTTGTTGTCCATATGTGCTGGGGGGCAACAGGCTCGTCGCATTTTTCTGCTGGCATCCAGCATCCTGGGTCTGCTCTGCCTGCTGGTGCTGGGTAATGCTTGGGAGCAGATGGCCACAGGGCCCTGCTGTCTGCTGCGGCGCCTGTGCTGGAGCTGCGCTGGGAGCTGCCTCTCCCTCCCCGGACTGCACTGACAGGCCTTTCCCTGTGCTCACCTTTCAGATTCGCACAAAGTGGATCCCCATGGTGAATGGGGGAGTTGAGAAGGGCTCCAGGTACCGTGTGTGGGGTGGTCCATGGATGCAGAATTGGGGGATTCTGGAGGCTGTGGGGTGCCCAGCACCCTCGCCACCTGCCAGGGTTGCTGAGATTAAACCAGCTTTGTGGCTAGACCACTTGCAGCAGAAGAACATGGGGGCTTTTCTCCCTTGCAGATCTAGCTGAGGCAGAGGGCCAGGGGAGAGGGTTCCTTCCCCCCTTGATCTCCTTTTAGACAGTCAGGGAGAGGAGAGGGGGCTGCTGAGGGAGTATGGAAGCACAGAAGCTCCAATCTGCTTAGGCAGAAGGCTGCTGTGCTGGATTAAAGGCTCCTAAACATATTGTTGCTGGGTGAAAGCATAAGCGGGATCAGGCAGTCTGTTTCTCCAGATGGATGCTCCCAGCCGTGGGAGGCAGGAAAGCTGCTCTGGACCTTGTGGAGGAGGGTGGGGAGGCTCCCCGGCCTGCTGCCTGGGAGCACACTTGACTGTGGTAGGACCGAGACCAAGAAAGGGGTGGCCTCACCTGTGCTCTCTGACACTCTGTCTTTCTTCTCCAGGATCCCCATTATTTTAGTGGGAAACAAGTCCGACCTGCAAGTGGGGAGCTCCATGGATGTCATTCTGCCCATCATGAACCAGTTCTCAGAGATTGAGACCTGCGTGGAGGTGAGGGAACGTGAGGTTTTCTGCAAGGCCTCCCTGAAGGGCAGGAATGCTTGTCTGGTGTGAGCCAGGGGGCCTTTGTGTTCGTGGAGGTATGCCCTGCTAATGTTGCTCTGCAGAAGTACCCCTGGCTGGGCCTTGAGGGCCTGTGCTTTAGGCTCTCTGTCCTTTGCCTTCCTTGAAGGGAGTGGGTTTCAATGCCTGCCCACTCCAGCTCTCTAGCTGTAACTGGTGTTGGGGCCACACTCAGCCCCTGTTGGCTCTGGGGCTGTGAAATGAGCGCAGCCAAGCCAGAGCACGAGCAGGAAGTTTCCCTTTTGTTTTTGTCTAATGGTGGACCGCCATTGCTCTGTGTGTTGCTGCGTGACTCGTCTGGCTCAGGGACCTCCTGTCATCTTCCTTCTGCTTCAGCCCATTGCCCCCACTCAGAGCTGTCTTTTCCTTTGAATCCCCAGTGCTCTGCCAAGAATCTCAAGAACATCTCTGAGCTCTTCTACTATGCCCAGAAAGCTGTGCTGCACCCCACCGCCCCCCTTTATGACCCAGAGGAGAAGCAGGTAGGAAGTGCTGCCCGCAGCCCCCGGAGGAGTCTCTTTCCAGTCACAGCGCTCTGCTCTGTTGCTGTGCTTGTGCCCCTGGGTGGGAGGGTGGAGGTTTTGGGCTGATGCAGCCAGAACAGGGGGGAAAGCACCTGACTCCTGTGCTCAGCACAGCCAGAGAGATCTGCGAGGACCAGGGGCATGTTGGGGCAGAACCCTTCGTGCTCCAGACCATGTGTTAGCTGTGATGGGAAGGGTCTAGGAGAAAACCTGCCTGTGGCCTGTCCTGCTTCTGACTCCCAGCTCCAAGGGACTGTGTTCTCAGCCAGTGCAGGAGGGGAACACCTCTATGAGTGAAGGTTCAGGATGCAGGGGAAAGAGCCAGGCTGAAGGTGGTGCCCTGTTTTTGTCACCATGCTTGGTCCCTTGCAGCTGAAACCTGCGTGCACACGAGCACTGACCCGGATTTTCAGCCTCTCAGACCAGGATAACAACCAGATCCTTAGTGATGATGAACTCAACTACTTCCAGGTAGGGCTGGCTGCGGAGCTGAGATATTCCCCAGTCCCTTGTGAAAGCCCCTGGAGTCCCCTTTCCTTCCAATACCAGGCAGAAAGGCTGTCCTCCTCCCAACACAGCCATCCTATTTCCATTCAGTGCTTCTGCTAAAGCACTATAAAGCTCATTTCTGTGTACGTGGGGATCTACAGGTCTTCTGTCTTCACTAAGCTTGGGCTGAATTTGCTTTGCAGTGGGAACAGCAAGAGGCTCTGGAGATGCTGAGAGTCATACTCTATTGGGATGCTGAGGAACAGGGTTTGGTCAGGGTCTGAGGCAGTAACCCCTGAGCTGGGTGGATTTTCTCTCCTAGAAACACTGTCTCCTCCCTAGGGAAGAGGGATGCTGGTGAGAGAGAGTTGTGCTGTCTGTGTGCTTTGCTGACGATGACCTTGTTTCTCTTGGGAGGTAGAAGTCCTGCTTTGGAAACCCACTGGCTCCCCAGGCTCTGGAGGATGTGAAGATGGTTGTGTGGAAGAACACCACAGATGGGGTGCAGGACAACGGCCTGACGTTGAATGGTAATGGCACGAGGGCTCCGTGCCCCTTCCAGTGAGGGATGGAGGGGCCCTGTCCTTGGGCTGAGCCTCGCCTTCACTCCAAACTGAATTGGTCCCTCTTGTCAATGCAAGCCTGAGCCTCCTGTGGCTACTAGAGCTCTCTGTCCAAGAGCCTGTTTTCCCAGGGAAAACATGGTCCCAAGGAGCAGATCCCTGAGTCTGGGTGCTTGGTTGGCCCCACTCTGTCTGAGCCACCTGATCTCTCCTGCAGGCTTCCTCTTCCTCAACACGCTCTTCATCCAGAGGGGCCGGCACGAGACCACCTGGACCATCCTTCGCCGCTTTGGCTACGACGACGAGCTGGCGCTGACAGATGACTATCTCTACCCACAGTGCGTATCCTGCCATGGGGTGGGCAGGGTGTGACATCCCCATGGTGCACAACTGGGACTCCCCAGCACCTTTGCTGGCTCCTTTCTGCACCCTGGGGTCTACTGCGTTCCTCAGCTGAGGCTGAATCCGCACCCATAGCTCACGGTCAGGTTCATGCTCCTCACCTTCGCCTGTGGGCAAGAGCTGATGTGGGGTTGGCAACGAAGACAATGGGCCTTGTTGCTGACTGTGCTGCTGGCTCTGATGTAGGCAGGCAAGGAGGTGGTGGATGAAGGCCTGTCCCTGACCAGCAAAGGGTTTTTGAAGGCTGTTCTGTCTCTGCCTGAGCTGAGGCAGAACGGCTGTTGGGAGCAGTGAGCTGGCAGCATAACCCTCTCGGCTGATTCTGCAGCTGCTGCCTCTTTGCTGCTCCCTGCCACCCTGGAGGTGGTGATCTGGCAGTAATGGAAAGGTTTGGCCTGTGAGCTGCCGCATGCTCTCCCCAGACAGCGGGGTGTGTGGGGAGGCGACAGGGCCTATGCTGGTGGAAGGCACCCTGGGGCTAGTTCTGTGCCCTGCTGAAGCCCTGGGCGCAAGGCAGATACGTGGCTACGTCATCTCCCTGCCTGCTGTGGCAGCACGGATGTGCAGAGGAGAGGCTGCTGTGCACCCCCGAGGCGGGTGTGTCAAGGAATTGCCAGGCCTGGAGACAACTGCTGGCCTTGAGCAAGGAGGGCGTGGGGAGCTGGGTGCTCTGGGTGAGATCTGGCTTGGCCAAAGATGCGCTCACACGCTCTGCCCTTTATTCAGGGCTTGAGGAGGGTCACTGGGGTCTCTTCCAACAGGTTCCGCCTTCCCCCCGGCTGCTCCACAGAGCTCAACCACTTGGGCTACCAGTTCCTGCAGCGGCTGTTTGAGAAGCATGACAAGGTGGGCAGTGCGTGGTGGAGCTGCTTGGAGAGGGGATGCTCTCTGCTAGGCCTGTACACTTGGGTGTAGCTGCTCTCCTGCCCACCCCTCTGTTCCAGGGAGCAGACGTAGCACCAGAGAAGGGCTTTCCTCTGCTACAGCACTCCCTTCGTGGCTTCTTGCCAAGGCTTTGGGAGCAGGAGGTGGTCACAGTGAGCTGTAGGAAGTCTGATGGCATGTCAAGGGCATGGGATTTTGGTCACTATCCTTGACCAAAGAGTAGCCAGTAAAGCTTAGAGCTTCAGGGGATGGGACTGAGTTAACATCAAACTGGCATAGCCCCTCGTAGTGCTTGGCTGCAGCATGCAGGGTGGCAGGGGAAGCGGGCACAGCTGCTGGCCTGCAGCCATGGACCAAGCACGAGCATCTGCACGGCTGCCAGCCCCGTGGAGGGGGTGCCAGGCCGGAGAGAGCGAGAGAAAGCAACTGATTGTGCCGTACTCTGGCTCTGGAGAGTGGGAGAAGGGGATGTATTGGATCCGCATGCACCTGCTGGGACTAGTTACTCGGATGCTGATGTGCCCCCGGGGGCCATGGGGGATTGCAACGATCGCAGAGCAGAATCTGCCTGTCTTGGGCAGTGATGGGAGTCCTGGGGCACAGGCTTTTTGCATGCTCACACGGCTCTGGCCTTGCTTCCAGTTGATTTCTGCTATTGAAAGCATGCCTGGGTCATTCTGCAGCAGCGAGCAGGGTGGTTTGTGTGCCAGGGACCCTTTCTGGAGCCCGATACTGCTTGGTATGGCTGCAGAGAGCTGCTGATGTGCCCAGGGGTTTGTGTCCCGCGTCAGCTGCTGACTCCCCTTTGTTTCAGCAGGACCAGGACGGAGCCCTGTCACCCACAGAGCTGCAGAACTTCTTCAGCGTCTTTCCCTGTGTGCCCTGGGGCCCCGAGCTCTACAACACGGTATGCACCACTGATAAAGGCCTGCTTTCCCTGCATGGATTCCTCTGCCAGTGGACGTAAGCTCAGTCCCTCTTCCCTGCCTTTAGCCATGTCACCTAGCCCTTGCTGACCTTGTTGGCTTCCCAATGCTCTCTGTCTCTTCAGGCTCGTGGCTTACCTGGATGTGCAGCACTGCCTGGAGTGCCTGGGCTACCTGGGCTACCCCATCCTCTCGGAGCAGGACTCCCAGACACAAGCCCTCACGGGTACCGCCATGCCCTCCCCTCCTGTCATGGCTCGGGTCCCTCCTCGCCCTCATCCAGCTTCTCTCCTGCCAGTGACCCGGGAGAAGAGGATTGACCTGGAGAAAGGCCAGACCCAGAGAAACGTTTTCCTCTGCAAGGTGCTGGGAGCCAGGGGCGCAGGCAAGTCCGCCTTCCTGCAGGCCTTCCTCGGCAGGAGCCTCGCGGTGAGTGGCTGCTCCCCTCCCCGGCCGCACTGCGGCAGGGCGTCCCGGCGGAGCAGGAGGCAGAGCCCTGAGGCTGGAGTGATCTGCTGTGTGACCTGCCCACGGCTGGGCCGAGTGTCCCAGCAAAGGGCTTCTCACCCCGCTCTGTGCCAGCGGTGCTGGCTGCTGTGGCTCTCGTGTCCTTAATTTTGCCTAAGGCAGCGCACCCGCTCCTTCTGCTTGTCCTGAGGAGCTGGAGGGGCTGTGCCTTTCCCGGGCAGCCATATCTCCCTGATCTCACCAAGGTGACGCTGACTTTCCCTGTTACGAGCAGCCCTGTGTTTGTGGCAGGCGCCAGCTGGCTTTCAAGTGGCTGTTACACCGCAGGGGCTTGGGGCAGTGTGAAATTCTCTCTCTTCCCAAAGCACTGCTCTTGCTCCCTGCTGTCTGAGATGGTCTTTTCATCGGTGGCAGGCCCAAAGAGAGAACCCAGGAGAACCATCCCTCTACACCATCAACACGGTGCAGGTCAACGGTCAGGAAAAGTATCTTATAGTAAGTCAGGGAGAGGAGGGAACTGCTGCTGTGTTGGGCTCGCAGCAGGGCTGGGCTGTGGCCATCCTGGCACCCCTGGGCTGGGCTGTGGCTGTTGTCATGCCAGCACAGCCTGTGTAGGTGTGAGAAACAGCTGATCTTGAGACAGTGCTGTGCCACACGTCCTTTCCCCTCCTACCCCAGCTGTATGAGGTCAGCACTGACACGAAGTTCGTGAAGCCGTCGGATGCAGCCTGCGATGTCGCCTGCTTCATCTATGACCCGAGTGACCCCAAATCCTTCAGCTACTGTGCCAGTATTTATAAGGTAGCTGACAGGGGCCCTGTGGGACTTCAGTCTTTGCGTGGCAGTCCCATGTCTCCCGGGGTTTGGGCCCTTACTCCTCACTGGGACTTCTCCCTGTGTCTGCAGCAACACTACATGGACAGCCAGATCCCCTGCGTCTTTGTGGCCTCCAAGACAGACCTGCCAGAAGCGAGTCAGCAGCCCGGGCTCTCCCCCGCCGAGTTCTGCTACAAGCACTGCCTCCCACCGCCCTTCCTCTTCTCCTGCCACGGACAGGGTCCGCCCAGCACCACAATCTACACCAAACTGGCCACCGCTGCCACCTTCCCGTTAGTATCCTTCCACTCAGGAGGCTCTTGGCTGGGAGCAGAGCTTGGGGAGGCAGGCTGTGTCTGAACCCTGCCTCCACTGCATTGCTTTTGGTTTGGTTTCTCACTACCTCTTGCTGTCATCTGCTCGTACAAGTAATTGAAACAAAAGGGCCACTTCTATCCCTGCTCAGAGAGGGCAGAGGGGACTCTGCTCTCTTCTGCCTTATGCATCTCTCTGACAGATTTATTAGATAGATCCTGCCACAGGAGTTTTTATTTCTGAAGCCTAAGATAAAAAATGCTGAAGTAGAGTAGCCAGCCTAGTTTGCCGAGGCCCGCAGAGAGGGGGTGGCAGCTATTTTCTCCTGATGAGGTGGATCAGACTGAAAAAGAGGTCAGTGAAGCGAGACCTCTCTTCGCACAGCTTCCCTTGGGAAGGAACTGCACCCCAAAAGGAGCTGGGTAACGGACAGCCAGGCTGGGCACGGGTGGTGAGGGGAGGTTTGGGGAGGAGGATGTGTCTGTGTGTGGCATCGCTCTGCCCGAGGGGCTGAGGGGGCTGAAAGCTGGGGGTAGGCGCAACAGCGGGGACAGAGCCCTCCTGGGGAGAATGTGTGGGTGCATTGGAAGACAGGATGGGATTACTAGTGAGTGGTTTTCCCTCTAGCTTCTTTTCAATAAACAACTTTATTTTTAGAGCTGACACCTTTTTTTCCCTCTGCAGTATTAAAATTTAAATATTCTTAATATATCTTAGGGTATGTGGTATAAATAAATAACGGCGTAATGGAGGGCCAGGGATTGGCTGTTCTCCCCTGATTTAGTGGAGAATGAATAATGGATACGTCTTTTCTCCTCGGAGAGGAGCACATTGATGCAGGACAGCACGTGTTTAGGAAAGGAATGTGTATGCTCGGGCAGGACTGGGCCCCTTCCCTTGCTGTGCTTAGGTCGGTGTCAGTGGCTGTGCCGGCATCTCCGCCTGCATCTGCTTCTGGGTCTCTGTGCACTTGGAGTTGTAAAAGCAGCTTGACCTAGAAAGGCAGATACATACCTCCTTCTCGTACTAATTATTTAGGTGTGCTATTTCCAGACCATGGGAGGGTAAAGCCACATCCATCCCCCCAGTGGAGCGGGGAGCCTTCATTGGGCTTGATGGTGATGCTGGGCAGCGAGTACTCTCGCTTGCGGGGCCGGGGGGGCCTCTTGGTGCTGCCTTCACCTGGGATCTATCCCCCAGCCTGGAGCTGTGCCGTGCTCACCCTCTGTCCCCCCAAGGGACACCCCAACCTCCCTGCTTGGGGTTGAAGCACTCCAGGCTGTTGGGGAGTTGGTGTTTGGACAGCCGTCTCTCTGCACCTTGCTCACTGGCCTCTTCTCTCTTTCCTTGCAGCCACTTGAATGCCGTGGAGCTGGGAGCCGCATCCTTCTGGCTCCGGGTGGCCCTGGGGGCCGCGGTGACTGCTCTGGTAGGGTTCACGCTGTACCGTGTGCTAGCCAAGAACAAATGAGTCTCTCTCCACCCCGTCCTCCCCGTGACACCAGCCTCCCCATCCCCATTGACGCCCCAGTGAGGGGCCCTGCCTCAAGCTGGTCCCTGCTGGGAAGTCCTCCCTTCCCCCCAGCCTGGATTGCAGGACCAGTAAAACAGGACTTCCCAGCACCAGCAGGATAGACCCCCTGACACTGGCCAGCCTCACCTAACGGCCTCTGCAGCCTCCTGGCCCTTGTGGCTCCTGCCCAGCCACAGCAGCCAGAGCCAGGTAGCTCTGCATGGGGAGCTCTGCCAGCAGCTGGAGGATCACCCTCATCTTTTTATTCTGTTTGTCTTTTTTTTTAACGTTTGTTTTTAAGCTCAAACATGAGTGTTTCAGTATTTGTTAGGCTGGGTACATCCCTTCCCCCGAGGGTTGTGCTGGTGCCTTCAATTTGGGGGGCACAACAGTCCCAGAGCCCCTGAGGCCCCCAGCAGCAGCAGCAGAGCGTTAATGGGCTCATGGCTTCAGCCCCCCGGGGCACACCTCCAGCCCCGGCCCTGTTTCCCTCTGCCAGTGGGAATGGAAGTGGTGGAGGGCCAGGTGCTTACACCCCGAAAGCCCCTGTGTTCTGGGGACACTCCTGGCCCCTCCTGCTGGAATGCTGTGGCTGCAGCCCCCAGGCTTGGGCTTCGAGAGGGGAGGGAGTGATACTCGGGACTTGTCCCATGATCCTCTCTCGTTTCTGCTCAAAGATACTGGAGTCCTGCAGCATTCCAGCCTCTCAGCCCATCTGCCCTTCTCCCCTGCCCAGCTGCATGTCCCGTCCCCTTCCCAGCTCTGCCCTGGCCACCAGTATTCATGGCCACCAGTATTTGCAGGGCCCCAGGAGCCCTGGTATGCTGGGGAGGGCTGCGAGGGGGTCGGGTGTCTGCTGCGCTCCCCAGGGTAGGCTGCAGTCCTCTCCTGGCAGTGCCATTGCTGAGCTGGTGCCACGCTGGCACATGGCCCGGTCCTGCTGTCCCCTCCACAGAGCCCTGGCCACACAGGCTGGCCCAGCCTGCAGGGCTCTGGGTGTTGCATCTCCTTCTACAACTGGAAGCTCTTTCCTCACCTGCCTCCTGCCCACACCCGAGCCAATGTTTGCTGCTGGGCAGCTGCTGTGACTTCAGCTCAGCGCAGATCTGGGGCCAGAGTCTCACAGCGTCCCTGTCTTCCTGAGTCCCAAAGAGCGAGGCCAGGCTGTGCTGGCCCCTGCACTTGGCTTCCACCTGTCCCTGGGCTCCCACCTTTCCAGTGCCACCAGTCTTCGGCTTTTCGAGCACACTCAGGGTAGGTTTCTTTGCAGGCAGCTGGTGGGGCAGCACTGAGGTAACAGCTGGAGGTGCTTTTCTGTATGTTTTGTCTATTTAAACTTTTTATTGTGGCCTGGAGCCAGTGAGGGGTTGAGAAGTCGCTGGGCGGCAGCCAGCATCTATTTCTTACAGGGGCAGTCCCAGGGTGGTGCCCCCATCCTGCTGGTGCCCGGTCCCCAGTGCTGGCCGGCCGGGGGGTCCCTGCCTATGCCGGAGCCGCTCTGCCAGTCTGGCACCCGCTGCCGCCCCGCTCGCTGCTGGCTGTGCTTCGTGGCACTGCCAGGGCCCCATCCCTGGTGTTTCTGTATCCCTTCTCCGTGCCCGAGCCCACCGTGCACGGCTCTGCTAGCCATGCCCGCATCAGGTGGTGTGACCTCACTCCTGGAACTGGTCTGTGTCTGGCAAAGCCATACCTTTTTAGGAGGTTTGTTCTCTACATCAAAATAAATTTTTACACACCTTCTGCTTGCACACCATGTCCTACGTCTCCTGGGGAGCAGGACCCACACCTTCTAGGGCTTTGCAAAGGGCTTGGCTGCGGTGTGAGTGAGGGGACCCCAAGGGCCTGGGCTGCCCACCCTGTTTGGGGACAGTTACAGGGATTTAGGGGGACAAGGTGTGGGGCTCCTTTGTGCTTGAGGACATGGATACCTCTGCAACAAGCGCGAGCCAGCGGGGAGAGATGGGGAAGGTGGTGGTGGGTCCCTGTGTTGCTCTGGCAGGATCTCACAGGTAGTGAGAGTGCCCCCCATCCCCCACGTGTCGTTCCACAGGTGCCATGTGCATGTGCCCCGCTCGACCATGCACACACCATCCCCACGTGCTGAGCTCACTGGCCCCAGGAGCCCTGGCAGCAGCCAGGTAGCCCCTCTCTGCTTTTGGGGTGCATCTCCTGCCACCCCAACTCCACTGGCTTGCTACAGCCCCCCGGGGGGGGGTCTGGTCTCCAGCCCCTCAGCCCTGCTGGGCTCTGTGTGCCCATCCCCGTGTGGGGTTGGGGGCTTCCCTGCAGCCACCTCCCCCCGCAACTCCTAGGGCTGTGCTGCCTCTCCTGCTTGCTCCTGTTTCCCCGTGGCAGCTTTCTCCTCAGCTGTTTCTGTCTCTGCAGGCTCAGCTGCGGGCACTGGGCACCGGGAATACAGGTGCAGGTGGGGAAAAGGCTTTTCCCAGCACCTCGAACAGGGCCTCTCCTCTGAGGCTGGATGGGACCAGACTGCTCCCCTGTGTGTGAGGGGGTCTCTTCGGGCTGCTGGGGAGGAGGAGACCCGCCACAGCAAACCAGGGCTGCTGGGGTGCCAGGGCAGGGAGGGAGCACAGCTGGTACTGCTACGCAGGGCAGGGGAGGCGATGCCAAGGTGGACAGGACACATGGTGCTCCCTGGTGAGTCCAAACCAGGCTGGGCCCCGTGGGAGCAGCAGGCCCACGTGCCGTGATGTGTATTAATAGTACCAGAGCTGCGCAGGCTGTGCCGGGGCAGGCGTGGGGCAGGGGATGCACATGGCAGGGCTGGGGGAGCTCACCACGGCCACACGCGGTCCCTGAGGAAGGAGCCTGGGCACTGCCCGCTGCCCGGCGTCTCTGCCTGTCCTGTGCCAGCCGGCACTGCCGCCAGCACAGCCCCCCACCCGCTGCCTCCAGCCCCTCTGTCCCCCGGACAGCCCTGTGCCACGGCAGTGCCAGGCTGGCGAGGGACAGCCCTGTGCCATGGCAGACCTGCAAAGCCCTGGCACTCGCAATGGAGCTGAGCTGGGGCCCAGCGGAGTGGGGATACACCACCCCACAGGACATGGCTCATGGGGCTCTGGGGGCAGCAGGGCAGGCCCCGGGGCCATGGAGCAAGTTCAAGGGGAGCCGGTGCCAGGCTGCTCAGCGGGCAAGGGCTGGTGCTGGAGGCACCATGTGCCTGGTGCCATGGGGGACGTGCCCAGCCCTGCGCTGGCCTAGGGTGCCGGGGTCAGGACAGCGGTAAAGGCTGTGGCCACCTGTGCTGGTACCTGTACTGGGATGCTGGTACCCATACTGTGATGCAGGTATCTGTACTGGGATGGTGGTACCCATACTGGGGTGCAGGTATCTGTACTGGGATGGTGGTACCCATACTGGGATGCAGGTACCACACCAAGGTACAGGTACCATATTGGGATGTGGATATCAGTACCTGGCTTGGGGGTTCCCATACCAGGGTGCAGATACTTGTACCGGGATGCAGGTACCATACTGGGATGTGTGCATCAGTACTGGGATGTGGGTACCAGTGCCAGGGTGCACATACTGTAGCAGGATCAGAGTACCGGCGCTGGGATGGGGGCACCGTACCGGGCTGCGGGGCCCCATCCCGGGATGCACGTAGCTGTCCAGGGATGCGGTACCGTCCCGGGCTGCCGGTGCCGGCTCCCTCCCCGTGCCCTCCCTGGGGCTGGTGACGGGGACTGAGGGGGATATGCCCCCCTCCACTGCACATGCACCCACCTGCCAGGACGCCGGCCAGGTAGAGGAAACTGATGCGCAGGATGCCGTGCACCATCTCCAGGGGCACCCCAATCATCAGCTGCAGGAGAGCGTTGAACCCCAACTGCT